ATTGGCAACAATTAAGGCTGGTTCCGAATATGGCAATAGTGTCCTGATGTGTTTAGATAAGCATCAATTCTGTTAGTGTATTTTTTGGAAAAAAATATCGTTACGCACTAGTTACAACCGAAGTCACTGTGAATGTCTTGTCGATGCTGAGGTTGGACAGAATCACCGTCCATTGGTTGAGTGGGTCGAAGCGAGAGCGAGCCTCGAGAACGAAGTAGGAAATGCTGGACAAGTGGGCGGCACCGAGGGTCCATGTGACGTTCAAGGTTCCCGGGATTGATTGTGGGCCAACCACCACACCTGAGCCAAGGAAACGTAAAAATCAATACCGATTGATGTAACGAACGGTTATATGGTGTATATTTGTCATTGCCAAACCAAAAATATACAGCTTGGCTAAATAGCCCTGAAGCGTGATACTTTACATTTTTGCCAGATTAGCTGAGCTTCAGCAAACACTTGACAAATAGATGCCAGCTTGATGATGGAGCGTAAAGTTGAGCAAATTACGACGGAAGGGCTCGACTTATAACCAACTCAAAGGGGTCCACAAAAAATGTTCCTTCACTCGGTTGGTTAAATGCCTTCATAACTCAATGTAATGAGATGTATTCACCCTATTTCGCCTGAGGTGATGAAGGACTGGTAGCAGAATTTTCCCACAATGACATGAGTTGAGCTGACGTTTCCCTTGAATTTCACATAACCTTGCTTTCCCAAAAGTTGTTATCATCCAGACAGAAGTAGACTGCAGTTTTGACCTCGGATCGGTCTTATCAACACCCTCAGCGGGAGTCGAACCACGACAGTACAGGAAGGTAGCTTGACACGCTAACTACTCGGCTACACTGCCACGAGTACCCTCGAGTCACAGGGCATAAGTGAATTTCAAGGAAGGTCAGGCCTCTTTGCTGTATCATATAAGTAACGTTGTCGATTGCTATAGCAAACATACGTTTGTTTCATCGGCACTCCCACCAAAAAGAATATGATATAGCGAAGAGGCCTGACCTTCATTGAAATTCACTTATGCCCTGTGACTCGAAGGTACTCGTGGCAGTGTAGCCGAGTAGTTAGCGTGTCAAGCTACCTTCCTGCACTGTCGTGGTTCGACTCCCGCTGAGGGTGTTGATAAGACCGATACAAGGTCGAAACTGCAGTCCACTTCTGTCTGGATGAGAACAACTTTTGGGAAAGCAAGGCTTAGACGAAATATGGTGAATACATCGCATTACACTGATTTACTGGTAGTCTCGAAACCCTACTCTAATACGAATATTCATAACTCAACACTGTATATGAGTCAGACCCAACTACTAACTTTTAAATATGAGTAGTATTCGAGACAATCATCATTTCTTGAATAACAATTTAGTCACCATAGGTTTCTTAATGCTCTAAATCACCCTACTCGACCTTAGATGACTAGGCTTTTATTCAATTTCTAAGCCTTTTCTAATTGACCCTTCTTTTTTGGCTTTTCCGTGTCATTTTAAAATATCCCTTAGCCTAGCAAAGACTGAAGGGTCAGAAATGTGCTTTTACACTATTTCGGGAAGAGCTAACTAATAACTGCCGATGATGCATTGCCTGGTTGAGATGAGCCAAATGGTTCAAAAAAAGTATATACGAAGAAAAGTTGTGTTTCGAGGAATCTCTTGTTTCACAATTGTTGAGCTTGCTTCCATTTCGAGTGGAAGTGCTGGGTGAAGAGATTCGAAGGTCGGTTTTACCAGAAGACGACGGCGAATTCTTCTTGACCAGCTGTCCATTTGCTTTACTGGAAGATTCATGCTGACGCTGTTTCCGAAGCAATCTCCTTCGATCCTGGGGAAAACGTGCTAAGCTTTCGTCCGTCATATGACGGACATCATCAGAACGAGGTAACATCGTCACAACAAAATTCAA